CATTCTATATCTCATTTATGCCCGTTACGCCTGGCCCAGCACAGAGCCGGATACACGCTAAGATAATGAAAAAAAGTTTCATTTTTATCCATCTTCTGGCAGTTTAGACAATTTTGTATTGAAAGGCAATTCCAACTTAATCGCTTGTTTTCCAAACGGTGTCTAATGTAAACTGCCGTCAGGCTGGCAATGATCTCTCGAACGTCGCCATTAACCTATTTGATTCCCTAAGGTCGTATTTTTGCTTCATTTTTCTTGTTATTCCCCATATGCCGATAAAGCTCTCCACTTCCGGTGAGTGCCCGACAGTTAATGTCTATACTAAGTTTTACAGTCTTATTGTTATGTTAAGGCTATACTTAGAAATTTCCTTCGAAAAAATGCTTTTGATCTTTGTTTTCAACAGACAAATAAAAATAAAATGATGTTGTTGCAAGCATCGTACAGATTAAAATATTAAGCCGATTTATAAAATTAAAAGAAAAAATACTGTTTATTTTATTTTTAAGTTAAACTTTTACATTTAAACGGCAATATGTGTATTGTGTTGATAATTCGAAATTGTTTCTAAGGTTCAGTAGGAATTTTGAAAAATTAAGTAGTAGTCATCTGTTAAAATACAAAAGTTTTGCGTCTTAAATTTTAAGTAAATTTTTAAAATTTTTGAAACTTAATTATTTATGTAACCTTGTTATTCAATTTTATTTACATACATATTTATGTGTATACATATATTCGTTAGTATATAATGATAACATGAAAGTTATATAATAATCTTTCTATTGAAACTAATTAATTAAAAGTTATTTGTGTATAAGCCTTTGTTTAATTGAAATTTTAAAGAATTTTATTTATTTTATTAAAAGCATCAATTAATTTCAGTTTTAACAATAATTTTAAAGAATTCATTTTTATAATGAAGAGAAGAATTTTAGAGAAAAAAAACTGAAAACAATTCGGTTTATCTTGCTTTTTGTTATACGAGTACTATATAACAATTTATCAAGTTGTCAAGAAAATTTTATGTTATCCTTTTTATTTATACATTATAAAATTTTCTAAGAAAATTAATAAATACTTCAAGTCTTAAGTAAAAGTTTTAAATAGATTAGAAAAACAGATAATTTTATAATGATGTGTGTGTGTGTATTGAAATTTCTTATACACAATAGATGCACGGTTATGAAATAATGGTAGAAAAATTTATAGAATTTTTAATAATATACTTATAATATTTCAAATTTCAATATATTTTTTTAATTTTAAATATTAACATTTTAATAAAAATACAAAGAGTGTTATATATGTATTAGTGAGCAATGTGAAAAATTCCTGTTACAATCATAAAAGTTGCATAATATTTTTTACTGCTGCAACTAGTTTTTGTTACAGTAGCTTCAATAACATTATAATCAGTCGCTTATTTATCTAAAATGAAATCTTCATATTATTGTAATCTTAAAAATCGATATTTAATTTAAGGATAACACAATGTGAATTTTATACTCGTTGAACATAGTTGAAGGTCATATTAGAAAATGTATAGATATTTTTATATTCTGAAATCAAAATAGAGAATTTTACTGAATCTTTTAATATTCTTAAAAATTTTATTTTGGAAATGCATAAAATATTTTCACATATAAGTTATATTGCATATACACACACATGTTAATATATATGTATGTATGGCTAAACTGCAGAGTACACTATTCGAAGATACAAAAAGTTTTATTTCCATTTTTGAACATTTTCGATAAAATGCAATTATTATAGTTTCAATCAATTCGTCTGTCCGTTTATGCTTATGTTGCATTGCTTATGATAATTATAAAATAGAAAGTTGAAATTTTACATATAATTAGAAGCCATATATTGACTCCTGTATATATAGATTAAGAGCCGATCGTCTGTTTCCCTATTTTACTCGGAAAGTGAGAAGAAAGTGAGTAACTATCATATGCTTGTATAATGTAATTTTCGAGTGAGAAGAATGGTTCGGCATTACGTATCTCGTATTTTTCTAAAATGTATACAAAATTTATTCACTTTATTTTTGAAAGAGTGGATAAAAAAGCGAGATATACGACCAGGCTGTAAATAATTTCAGCCAAGATATATTTTGCTCTATCGCCTCAATTATATTAAACCAAACAGCTGTCGAATTCCACGATTATGTCAAAATTTTGCTAAAAATTTCTTGAAACAATTTAAATAGTTTTAAAGAAAAATTTGCTCCTTTAAAAATCTTTTGATTTTTCAAACGGGAATTCATTTTTTAATAGCACAGTTATACAAAGAAAGAGAATTTATATATATTACGTGTAGTTTTGGTCATCAAATTGTTTTAGCAATAAATTTTGATTAAATTTATACACACGTACCTATATGTTTACGTGATGTTTCATACCAATGTACCGTTGTTCATATTTTAATTTTTTTTATATTTTAAAGAGATCATTTTTTAATTTTGTATTAAAAGAGAGCACAAGCGAGTATGTGAGTCGTATGTAATTAAGAAAAAAATCCATTCCATGTTTTCATTTTTAAATTAGAAATAATATTTTTCAGAATAAGATTTTATTTACAGAGAGATCGAAACTATCTAGCTTTTTCATACTAATTTTTTATAGTATTGACTTGGGAATAAGTGTAATACTCGTACTTGAGGCTATGCAAAAATATACGTTTTAATTCTATTAATGGTATAAGAAAATATTGCGATAGATTCTGGCATAAGATTCGGTATTAAAATAAAAATTAAAGGAAGCATTTTGGTGAGCGAAAGAGGCTTTAATAAATTTCTTTATAAACCGTCGGAACTGTTTTAAATTTTGAGAATGAAAATCAAATATACAATATACGTAAATGAAATATTTATCTAGCAAGTACAATTTCTTACTTAGTTTCCCTAAATTTTAACATGTTTTCCACATTAGAAAATTTTAAATTTTTAAATGATTTAAGTAAAAAAATTTAAATTTATTTATAGAGATTAGCTTTCTTTTTTTCATGAAGCAAAAAAAAAAAAGACTTTATAAAATTATAAAACTTTATCGAAAAATTATACGTCGTGTCAAAAGGAAAATGAATTTAAATTTATTAAATATTCCACCTTTGTGCAGCATTAAAATGCGAAAAAAAAAATTCTAATATAAATCAAAAAAGGGTCGGCAAAAAAAAAAATATTTTTATAAAACCCTTTGTTGTTACTCTTATATTTTCATTCAATCATGAACTCAAATTGCACCCTCAAAATAATTATGAGTTGGAATGGAAAAAAAAGTTAATTTAGAAAAATGAAGCGATAAAACTGAAAACAAAATAAAAATATTAAATTGGAAAGGGTTGAAGGGGAGTTGGAATAAAAAATCCGTCGTATATTAACAGTATACTGCATATATATCATAAGTATATATACACACACATATATATATATATGTCGAAGTATCCACACAATCAAACAAGTTGTTTATTTTATTTTTCCATAAAATTAATTTTTATTATACATGGTTCGTGTATATTGACTTAGAACTTGAAAATTATCAACAATGTGTAATAACGTACATATATATGTATGTATGTAATTATGTATAAAAAATTCGCTCGTATATATAATGTGTAAGTTAAGAGTAACGTAAACATTAAAGGAACGGAAGTAAAATATATTTATACATGAATACTATAAATGTATAGATAACTGACTTTCAAACTCATAGATTCATGTATGAAAGAAATTCGATGCTATAATTATACTTGTGATGTTTACTAAAAATGTCCTTTCTAATTTTAATTATTGAGTTTTTAACGAAATGAAGACAACAAAGAATTATTTATAAATGAAATTGATTGAGTTAAAATACATTTACGACGTATATATTAGTACGCTACAACTACACTACACTTACATTGAATTTTCCTTATATATGAAGTGTAAAAAAAAAACAAAGTCCGACTGAGTTTGTTTGTATTTTTGTAATGAAAAATTTTTATTAAAGTCTTAATTTCTAAATGTGTATTAGGAAAATATTCTGCAATTTTCGATTTTTTTATAGAACAGTAAATAAAGTCATCTATGATTCTTAAGTACTTTGCTCAACAACAAGTGCATATAACAAAAAATAAAAGATAATTATTTATATAGCACTGGTAGAATTTCTCGAAATATAGCAGTCACCATTTCAAGTACTTATAGATAATACCAACTGGATTTTGTTCCTTAAGTCAATTGGTGTGGCAGAGTAGATTTAATTCGTTTATAAAACAGTAAGCCCAACTATATACTCATTCAGTATTATAAAATTGTTTGCTAATAAACTTATAAATAACGGGGATGACGTCTGTAAAATTGTAATATTTTGGCAGAGAATAATAAACTGAATGTCACTTTAACTCGGAATTAGAAAACATAAAATTATTATTGTGCCCCACAACATTGTTCGGTTTTTAGCAAAGCCTAGTAACTAAATTTAATGAATTTTTTATAAAATGACAATAAGAAGCGGTAAACGGACAAAGGAATTAACTTACATTCGGATTCTAACACATTTTTTCATTTACAAATTATAAAACTATTAATTTTTTTGCTATACTTATATCCTATGTGCAATGTCAATCTCTTCTTCTATTAAGTTTCTAGTTATAAGAAGTAATCACAGTTAAAAATATATGAAATTTAATTATATTCCATCCGAAAAGCTCGATTTCCCGTCAAAATGTTAGTTAATCTCTTTGTCCACTTACCTCTTTATTAATAAATAAAAATTATATTGACATAGAATTAAATTGTCGGGATTTTGCCTATTTTTAATTAGCATATACGAGAAATGTTCTTACTTGTATAAATTATAATTACTATTTATACAAAAATTTCGAATTATGGAGGTTGTTATCATGCCTAACTCTAATACTGTGTATATTGGCAGTCACTTGACAATCTGTTTTCATTGACAATCAGTTGTTATTTTGTTAAAATGTTGTATATTTAATTTAATACGTACCTATATTGTTGAGATAAATAAAATCGTTGTTAAATTTATCCTCCAAATTTTTTTATATTCAACAATATTTTGGCTTTAACTAAAGTCTATTTGAAAAAAAATTATACAATTTCAATTAGAATTATTTTCATTACTTTTAATTTTGTCAATAACTTTTTTATATTGAAATCAAAAATTTCTTGTTTATTTTCTTTGGAACAAAACCTTGGATTTTTAATATTTCCTTCTATATATTATTAGTTTTTAATGATTAATTTTTATTTTATTATAACATTTTTATTATCAATAATTCAATAATTATTAATATTTTATTATAATTATAAAAATTATTTTTATTGATTAATAAATTTTATGTTTAAATTTAATTTCATTTTTGTTTTTTGTTAAATTAATAATTAATTATTTAAATCAAAATATTAATCTAAAGAATAGGTGAAAATTTGTTATAAATTATTATTTATTATGCCTATAAAATGCACGAAAGAATAAAAATTAATTTAATTAACTGTCATTATTTATATTGAATATATATATATATATATATATATACATATATAAAGTAACTACAGGTACACGCACACAATTTCAATTACAATATTATAAGAGAGACGACGTTTATTAAAAAAAAATTAAATAGAAAAATATTTCCTTCCGTATACTATTTATTTATATTATCCTTCTGAATCCTTGAAGTAAAATAAAATAACTAAAAATCAAAATGAATGTACAAAGAAAATTGAAAATAAAAAATCAGATAAGACGTGTAACAAAACACTGACAAAAAAAAAATAAAGCAACAGAGTATAGAAAAAGGAAAGCTTTTTTTTTTAAGTTAACGCATTTCTCCCTTTATGCCACCATTCGTCCTTTTTATTCTAAAATATATTACACATTTATTTCACAATTTCAAAATCAAATAAAATACTAAAAATTCGTTCAGAAAATAAAAGTAAAATAATATAGAATTTTTTACCGTGTTACTTAAACCAGTTTAGTAGTTCACGAATTACTGTAAAAATTTTTTTTTATGAGATAAAAAGGATATTTACAAAACATTTCTGATAACATTCAAGTTTCAGTTCAGAAAAGCTTTAATATTCTCAAATATAAAGTGTAGATATGTGTGTATGTTTTTCTTTTGGAAAATTGAGGTAATTATAGTGTTACCATAATTATAAAAATTAAATAATATATTATTATAATTTAAATAGTAATCTGGGATTGATTTGGTATTTCATATTTTTGCTTGAAGAGGCGATTTTTTTTTGGTAGCAGTCCATATTTAAATTATTCAATTGATAGCCCTGATATTACTGTAAAGCACCTTTTTTCCAAAAAAAAATTGAAATTAGAAAAGATTACGGTCATTGTTATTTTCATTACAAGTCGGTAACCATCACAGAATTCACGAAGTTTTTTGAAACTTTTGAAACTGGAGCTGAAATTGAAACTGATGCATTGACATTAGGGCTATCAAATTCTGTATGAAGTTTAACCTTGTTTAAAGTGTAAGCATGTTTGGTTCACATCAAAATTTCAGAAAAAATTTAAAATCTAGTTTATCCGCTTGAGTTTTGCTTGTTCAAATGGGGCTAAAAGAAGCGGGGCTTAAATAATTTATATAAATTTAATTATTTCTTAATACCCTGCTTTATTTATTATTGAAAATTTAAAGGGATCGCGATATGTAATTATTATCTAAACCATATTTAAATTTATTCTGAAATATTAATGAAAAATAATTTTTATTCCCTATAGTCAAATTTAATTGCTTGCATTATGATAATTAAAAAATTGAGAATTATTAACATTTTTTATACATACATAACTCAATGAATAAACCTTATCTATGCAGTGATAATTTAATTGGAAAGTTTATGAAATGTATACTCAGTATACAAATTTAATTAGGTAATAAGTAAATATACTTAATAATGTTGCTTAGTCAGAATATTTGGGGAAAAATATTAAATTTTCAAATTATACGTGTCTAAATTTCAGTGAATTTTTGAATATGAACACCAATATAAAAAAATTCATGACAAATTTTATATGAATAATCTTAGCTGAGCGAATATTTCGCTAAAATTTTAGCATAGCAGTTTTAATATCACTTCAGAACTAAAATTTGTCTATAGTCAATAGCTTTTATAATATTCAAGACGGAACTATGTGGTTCAAATCCCTACATAGCTGGCAAAGTCAATTAATTAAACATTTAACTCCTTAATTTTTTTCAAACAAAATTTTATATAATAAACAAAAATATTAATCTAACATCATTTTAATATGTAAATTGATTTTCTAGTTCAATGTCTAGCGAAAAAAATAAATCGTAACAAGGTTAAAAATTATTAAATTTAAAAAAAATTGGTTTAAAGATTCCGAAAATAAATGTTAAACTTTTATAAAATGAAAAGAAAAAAATTAAATAAAATAGAAAATTGTTATACGGAATTTTTGTTTATTTGAAAATTTACCCCCTAAAGAGCTGATAAATGGATTTTCTTAAAACGTACGATTTACTACACATTTATTGTTATGATTGTATGGGTTTATTTATTTCTTAGAACGATAATTTGAATTACGTACTTACTTGTTAATTAAAACTGTGATTTATGAAAATCAAATGTAGATATTTTAAAATAATCATTGTCTTTTTTTTCTTTTAATTTATTTGAAAATTACTAAAGTAAACATTCGGAGTTTAAGTCAAAGGTTTCTTTTTCTAATTTGATAATTTAATAATTAACGAAAACTTCTAAATTATTTGAATTAGTTGATTTGCTTTAATTAGATGATAGCTATTTTGTTTTGAGAGATATAGAAGTTCTAAATTTAAAATAATTATCTTACGTTACTGTCCGGCAGACTATCACAGCTTCCTATTAGAACGGAGATCAAATTTTGTTAAAATAATATTGTACAGCAATTTCATACCAAGTTCCTATTTATTCAGATTTGACGCAAACGAGTTCATCAATATTTTTCACAAAAATTAATTTGAATTTATGGAAAATTTTTTAATTTCTTCTATGGAAAATTTTTTGATAATTTTATCTAAAAATTAGTGGATATTCTTGTCATTAGATTTTATTTATGAATTTTCCAAAATAAAAAAAAAAAATTTCTTTTGATCATTTTTAAAAATCCGCATGAGTCATACATGTTGAAATTTTTATGATATTTTATTTAATTATTCTATCATTTAAGAATTTGCGAAAATTTATGAAAGGGAAAGCGAATAAAGAATCCCGCTGTCTACGCAATATTTAAACGATGATAAGAATTTTTTATTTTGGTTTGAATTTGTTTTTTTATTTTTGATATTTTCCTATTATAAACTTAAATTTTTTTTTATTTTGCAAATCTTGATCATTAATAGTGTAAATAGAAAAATAATTAATTCTATGTATTTCTGACCCAAATCTACTACAATATTAATTATAATTTAAATGTATTTGTAAAAATACTGCGGAGAGAATAAAAATATTAATTTAAAAAAGAAAAAAAAAAAAGATAAAAAAAATGACAGCAATTAATCCCAACCACTTAAATTATGACCCAGTAAACTTTACAAACTCAACTTTTGTAATCGTAAAATCAGAGTGCAGTCAAGGAAATTAATAATATGTATTTATTATACTACTGTAATAGTGCGAATAAAATATTTTAAAATTTTACGTAATTTTTAAAAAGGTCCCTGTAAAAGTTATATATAAATATTTTCATAAAATTTCCTATGCAATGGCGACAATCCAATGAATGCCTCCAGATCAGCCATCCAAGTCGTCCGAATTGCTCGAATTTTTTGCAGACAAGCCAGTGTCTGAAGCTTCCCCAATTTTAGGCCCCACCCCCTGCTGTTCAAACTTTCGGCATCACCTAGGGACACATATGTGACGGTAGGCCAACCAAGGAATGTGTTTAGTCACAGTGGTACCCTAGATCTAACGCAATAAATTTTGCAACAAAAGTACTACATTCCTTCGTTGTTTCTTCGATGACCCTGTATATATGGGTATTCCAGAAGAAGCGATCATCTAGGGTTACCCCCAAATACTTAACTTCACTGTAGTACGCAACAGGATCACCAAATACTTGTGATATTTGTTGATTTTTCCCTGCTCCTACGTTTTGTGAAGGCAATAAATGTGCTCTTGATGTGATCTATATTTAGTCCTATGTCTTTGCACCACCGTAAGAACCCTTAGATTCTGTTGCAGACGATTAAAGATCATGTTCTCGAATTTTTCCTGGACGATAAGGGCCTCATCATCAAAATTACATCATTATTTATAATCACATGTACATTACTGGCATTACCTGGTTTAACTTGATTTTCTGCAGTTTTGTGACTTCCTTACGTTCGTAGCATGGATTTATCATATGCATACACAATTACTTTCAATATTGATTTCGCTTAAGTTTCTTTCTGCTCTAGTTGCGTTTGCTTCGAAGTTCTTGTTCATAACCTTCAGCGAAAACGTCAAAGCTTTGATGTTGAATTCATTAAAAAGTACCATTTCTGTCTTTTCCAGTTTAGCCTTAAAACGCATTTAAATTGTTTTTTCAAATTTATTTATGAATGTGTTATGCGAGTACTTTTTAAATACAAAATGAACCTGCAAAAATTAATGGAAAAGATAAATTATTTTGGTCTTATTTTAAAAAAAAAAACAAATCAAATATTCTAATTAATTATTAAAACTATTTTAGAATGTTGGAAGATCAGCGACTCATTAAGGGAATTATCAAAAATTGTTCAACCGCTAATTAAATTAAAAATTTTTATTAAAATTTTTGTGAATATTAGAAGATAGTTATGGAACAAAAAACAAAACAATTATTAATCAAATGAAAGCTCTTAAAATTGTGTGAAATTTGCGATAACCGCACTTTTTTCATGAATTGTCATCAAATATAGAAAAAATTAATGCGCAATAGCGATTCAATATTGTACGACATGAGTAAAGTGGGAAAGTGTTTTAATAAACGCCACGAATATTTGAGCTTGAGGGGTGCTGTAAATTTATTTATTTGTTTATAATATTGAAAATAAACGAATATAGGTATAAAAGAAGGTTTGCTTGCATTTCACTTGAATCTGTAGCACAATTATTTAAATATTTCACTTTATTTTTAAAACGCCGGACAGAAAGAGAGTAAGAAAATAAGAATTCTAATTTAGAAGCGTGAATTTATTAGTAATTTAAAGTAGAAATGATTTGGCTACCTCAAAACTGCTACCTCAAAATTGTTCTATTCAATTGTCAATTAATTTTGTGTTATATTTACGATTGAGTATAACAAAAAAAAAACAATCATTAAAAGACAAATGAAAGAGTTATTGCTTATTAATCTGAACTGGTTTTAAAAATTTTTATTTCCGGATCAAATTAAGTTTTATTATTTAAATTCACGCTTTCATATTTAAAGCTAAATAGTATTTTTTAAATATAGATTTAGGTCATTGACTATATTTACGAATAAGAGTGAGGCGCCTCAAATTATATAGTAATACAAATAAACGCCCACATTAATTTTAATTTATATAGTTAATCATTTTATAAAATTTGATTTCACAAAGATTAATTAAATTAGAAAGAATAACAAAAGGAATCAAACAAATATTATAAAAATCATTGACCCACCATATTCTTTTATTACAAAAGATTTATATATAAAAGATTACAATGTACACTTTTCATTTGAAACAAAGTAAATAAATTTCGCTTTGTTAGTCTTAATATCAAAACAGAAAACAAATAAATTTAAATTATTAGAAGAAATTTATTTGAAAATTTTAATAATAAATATTTGTACAAAAGATACTTTCTAAAAAAAATATTGAATTTAAATAAAGAAAAGAAAAAAGTAATTAAAAAATAATTTTATTAAAATTTGCTAACCATCATTTCCTGTTCTAATCAAAATATTTGACCTTTGGCAGGTGTTTTCACTTATTTATTTGATAGTGTCATTTGAATTTCACAAAAAAACACATTAGAGATAATCTGTGTAAAGTATTTTAATAAATGAAATTTTAAAAATTAAATTAAATAGTAAAATTGGAATGCCTATAAATATTTTGATAATGAAACAGTCCTTGTTTATATAAAAATTTACACAAGATTTTCCATATTTATTAATAAATTGTAAGCACAGTCATATATTTCATGTGCATTTATGCAAGCAAGCAAATATTCACTTATGCAAGCAAATATTCACAACTAATAGAAAATAATTTTATTAGTAAATTTAAATAAAAATTGCATAATAAAATTGTTATATGAAAAAATTATAGTAATAAAAAAAATAAAATTAAAAGGGAGGAACACGAAAGCACAACTGCTTTCCGAAAACGGTATACGATGTTGTCTTCATTCAAATGTGATGTTGATTCATTTTTGCATAAATTTCATATAAATTGATGAATGTAGACCGAAATTTTGAGATTATCATGATTTTTTTTTTTTTTTTGATAAAATTTAGTTATGGAAACTCTTGGTTCAGCTTAGAATCGAAGTTTTGTAAAACATTATCTATATGATGATCACGTCAATCACGTCAACCTCTGGCAAATTCAAATAGTCATATTCGTAAATAAAGAAATTCTTGTCAACTGATATTTTACAATTTACAAATAAAATTTCTCTTTTTTCTTACCTGTTTTCCTTTTCTACATTAAAATCAGTCACTTTTAACAATTAATTCCTATAAATGCATTGAATTTATAATAGTCAAAAAGAATCCTAACACATCTCACTAGATTTTATTGAATTCTTTATTTATACTGAAAATAGAAATTTAGAAAAAATATTTGTTGTAGTAAAAAAATAGTAATAATTATATTATAAAAAAAAATCATTAATATTTTTTTTTCTCAATTTTGTTTCAATTTTGGTATATAGTTCAGTTGGAGAGAGGAGGAGGCGCCATCAAAGCTGTAATCCACCTCCACGATACTTTTCTCCCTACTGAATCAATCCAAGTACCTTGACATAATTTAGCAGATCACGCACGGGCGCCCAAGAGGAGTCCGATTCATCAAGTCGATATCCTCAAAAAAGTGTCAGAATGGGACACTCGCAAATTATGTATTTCGCGTCATCCACCAACCCGATGTCTCGGCACCCCATGCAAACATCCCAACCCCGTCAAAATGCCATCCACAATACTGAGATCTCCCCTGCTGAACGCCAGCTGATTCCTCGTTCTTGCACCGTTTCTTTTCGGCCTTTAGGGTCCTTCTCGTTGCACAAGTTCGCCTGCCATCCAAAATTCGCTCTTCTTCTAGTTTTTTCATATAGAATGTTCTTCAATTTCCGTCTTCTTCTCTGACATCACTGTTAAAAGTATTGGAAAATATGTTTTCGTAAAACAGAATTTTTAAGAATTAAAATAATAAATAAGAAATATACGTATACCTACAAAGCTCTGACGCAACGAATAAGAAAATTTTTACGTTTTATAAATTCATCGGAAACAAAAAAATATTTTTTTAAAAATTGTAGTTTATATTACATTTATTGAACGTAATTCAAGTTATTTAAATATTAGTTGAATTATATTTAATGCGTCCTAAAACACAAAGTTTTACGAACTTTCATTTTTTTATAATTAAAATTTATTTATAATTATTTTTATGTACATATTTATATATATTTAATTTCACTTAATATTCATATTTATATTAAAAGAATAATAAAATACATTTATAAGTACAGGAGCTAAAAAAGAAAATATTATTGATAAATTTCATTAGAAATTGTTATCACATTATAGGAATAGTAAAAGAAGCAAAGAATAACAAAAAAAAACTATTATAGCAGTAATGGTAATTTAATTGAATTGCGTCTTGAAAAGGTTAAGTTCCAATTCAACCTGAAATTTCTTCTATAAATCTACACTTTTACAGATAAATCACAATTTTATTTAATCAAACTTTTAACATACTTTTAATATTAAATGAGAATATAAGAAAAGAATAAGATTTTTGACCCTTCATTAACTATCAAATTGTCATTATATAAATTAAAAATTAATCGACCAATCTGTTGGTATCATGTATAAAAAGTCAAAGTAAGTGACTAAATACAAACACACACATTCATAATTATCTATGTTTATGTTAATGTGCGAAATATATTACTTAATTTTTCTTTTTGTAACACGCGACTCTGTACGCAATATAAAATTTGATAAATTGAAGAAAGAGAGAAAGAGAGAGAAAAAAAAATGAAAAATTAGAAATTTAAATTAGTTATTTATTTTGTTTTTGTTTCGTTGATAAAAAAATAGTATTAAATGATTGAAATTGTCGCAAAATTTATTTCAAAATTGAAATGATAATATTGAAATTATAAAATAAATATTTAAAAAATTCTTATCAATATTTTCAAATATGGGTTTTATAATTTATGTTTATAAATATACACCAAAGCACCGATTTACGGCCATTATCAAGTATATCTAACGGGAAAAGTTTATGGCAAATTGAAAGATTTGTAAAAAGCGTGAAAAAAATTTCATGAATTCAAAGGTAACACCATAGGGTAGCGAATGTTATAAAATTTGTTTACTAACTTGGCTCCACCTAATATATTTCCTGAGTCACAAGGAAAAATGTAAAAAAAAAAATAACCTTCAGGGAAAAAGCTGTATGTGTAGATCAAGTTACTGGAAAAAGATGGCCCAATAACTCGAAAATCTCATAATATTTGAGTTTTATAGTTCAATTAGGTTATCATGATTCAGAAATATAATCGGACATACCATCTGTAAAATATCACTTTCAGTAAAAATACGGTAAATTCGGCACGGTAATACGGCAAATAAATTCGGAATTGGAATTGAAAATGTAGAATACTGTCAACTTCAAAATAAATTAGAGAAAACCTGAAATTTTTCATTCATTTAGTTTCGATTTTACTCATTCCCATGAAAACGGTAATTTTTATTGCATATGATTAATAAGAGTGACAAAATAGCACACTTTATTTCCGTTACGTTTTCCCCATTAACTATATTTTTGACATGTCATGAAAATGACGTTATTGAAAAGCGTTATAATGAGGTTACGGGTACCATATTTTGTAAATATTTTTTTTTTGTTTTCTTATTTTCATAAATTTATTTTCTTTGCAAAAAAAAAATTTTTTTTTACGTTTTACATAGAATATTTATGTTTGTATGAATTTATATTTTCGGATTCAATTCAAATAATATAAAATAGAATTTAATTAAAGCTCCTTGACATAGCATCACTAGTTCTAATTTAACTGTCTAACAGTTTGCATTAATATATATATTATAAAAAACAAGAAAAAAAAAATATTAAAATTTTATTATTAAAATAATAAATTTTATTGTAAAAAGGCAAAACAAATTATAAAAAAAATTGAAATAAAAGTAAATAGAGAAATAAATAATGGAAGTTTTAAATTCTGAATTGTCATTTCAAATAAAATTTGAAAAGACTCAGACTGAAGATTCATTGAGTCTTGCATTACGCGGTTTAAATTTAAAAGATAAAAAATATAAAAAACAAGATTCAAAAAATTCTTTAACTGTAAAAACTAACACGGATGATAAAAAATCTTTAAATAATCAAAATGAATTACAAATTTTTACATTAAAAGAAGTCTCGAAACATCAATCATATGAAAGTTGTTGGATTATTTTGTATGATCGTGTCTATGATGTAACAAAATTTCGTGATTTGGTAAGTTGAATATTATACAATTACTATAATAGTTTCTACTTATCTACTTAATAAAATAGGGGAATTACAGTTCTACTTAAATAGGGGATGTCATTTTCTAGTAAAATTTATGATTTCGAACAGTTTGCTATACAACTGTTTTAATGTTACTAATTGGAATATATTAAAAACATATTGTAGAGTTGAAAAAATTTTAATAATAATGAAAAAAAACATCATTTCAATGAAAATACATAAATTGTAAAATCAGATCTCATCCCTGATTGAAGGATATGTGTTTAGTTCAGTTATAACAGGGTACGAGCGTTCTATAGGTTTTTTAAGTTTTGAAATTTTTTGAAATTTTAAAGAGCAAAATGTACAAAAAAAAAAAAAACAACAATATTAAAAAACAAGAAATTGCAAGAGTGTAGGATGGAAAATCTTTTAAACTCCAATGTTTTCATTAAATTCACTAAAATTCAATCACCTCATTTCGTTTCTATTACATGTACGGTATTTCTAATGAGCGATCCAAAATTTACTCCCTTGTTTATAACACAGACTGATTAAGTGTTTGCCATTCTTGAGGCTAGCAAAAAAAAAATACTTTATAAATAGTTTCGATGCAATTACCAGAGTAAAATTTTTACATATAGCATAGAATTGTTCCAAAATTTCCGAATTTAAAATCTAAATTATTTCCGAAATTCAAAAATTAAGGCTTTTAATTTTTCAAAATAGATTAATTTGTTTTATATAGATATATGCCAATTATTCTTTTTTCTTTGTTGTTTAAATATAGCATCCCGGTGGACAGGATATTCTATTTGAAAATGCTGGTAGAGATGCAACATTCGCCTTCCATGGAATACATTCAAAACTTGCTTTGTTAATGTTAAAAGATTATCTTATTGGAGAATTACCGGAAAAAGAAAAATTATATAGGAAAAGGAGTAGTCATTCAATTTCATTAGATAATATGCCCGAGTAATAATTAACTAAATAATTTTTTAATCAAAAAAAATAAAAAAATTCTTGGAATTTAAAAAAGAATTCATGAATTATCGTATTTTTTTAAGTCTTTAAGTTGACGACAGACTTTTATTCTTAATTTAAATATAAATTATCTACATAATTTAATTTATATATATATATATATATATATATATACATATAAATTTTGAAAATGTTAATCATAATCTATATGGAATGTTTGTAATAAGAAAAAAGTGTTTAATTTAATTTAATTTATATAAGTATAATTTAATTTTTTTTAGTAAATTTAGTGTGTCGAATATAAGAATTATTTTAGATTATAAATTATAATTTGAAATAAAAAACAAGAAAAACAAAAATTATTATATTTTATGTCATGTTTTCTTATATAACCACCAGCATCAAAAAAATCATGATAATTATATGTTATCAGTATAATTAATAATAAATAATGATAATAATTAATATAAATCATTATATATATATATAAACGTTGAATATGAATGTGTGCATGTGAATGAGTAACTTTGAGATTAATAAATTAACATAGAAGGAAGGAAGATTAAAAGGAGAGACGGACGTACTACAAATTTTGTTTATTAAATTGCAATTTTATTTTGCATTAATTGAAGGTGAAAGCATATTTATGTACACATATATGCATATATATATATATATATATACATATGAAATATGTACATATAAAAATGCGTTAGACAATAATTGAAAACAAAAACTTGTTTTTTAATAGATTCAAAATAAAAATAAATTTAATTATTTTGTTATTGAGTTTTCAGTTATTGAAATAAAAAGGTTCCACATCAAATGCGAAATTTAACGTCATTTAAATGAATAATAATGGTTTAGAATTATTACAAGGTTGTTTTTCTATTCTATATACACGCATACTTAGTGTATTCATTATATTAAGTTAAAATTAATAAGGACAGTAAATTCTGTCATTCGGCCAAAGGGGAAGTTTGCGAAAGGGATGCTAAGAACAAAATCAAATACAAAGAGATAATTGATGAAATTGAAGCATATGGGGACTTCAAGATTCCTTTATACCGTTTTATGCTAAGCCACAGGCAACCACAACAAGGGATACCGGACACCAACTTCCAACTTGCAACTTCCAACTTGCACATGTAGATGCAAGTTTGGAAGTCGGCTAACCTCAAACTGTCCGCGGAACACTGTTGTAAGACATCTGATAATCACCAAAGGCAAGAATGTCCTGAACTTTTACTCACCAAAGGTAGTCAGGAACTACAGGATGATAAAATGCGAACTACGGCTCTTTGATGATCTTCTTAGTTCATACATCGTTAAGATTGGCGGCGTCTGGAATGGGTTCATAATTTAATTCAACTCTGCTATTTGGATACTTAGGATGAGTATTGAATACAATGCTGGCAAATAGATAAGCCCAAATATCTTCATTTTTTGAAATAAAATATTCATTTTGAAGATTCGATAAATAAAATGTCCTCGAAATCTTCAATTAATTCAATTGAAGTTCAATTTCGCCTATGAACCTGAAAGTATTTGAAAAATATATGTAGTTACCAATACACATATTCGATTTTTAAGTTAGATAAAGAATAACTTAATATTGTTAAGATAGTTCGAAAACCATTTTAATTTCATATTTTTCAAAAATAATTGAAATTTTTTTCTTTTTCCGATCAAATCTAAATTACGAGTATCATAATAATTTACTTTCGGTACATTTTTTTAATAATTCTTTCCCATTCTTTAAAAATTTAAAATTTCTTAAATTTTTCGAAATTTTAAATTTATTATTTCGTTTTTTGATCTGACATCTATTGTCTTTTAAAAGAAACTTGAAGTTGAATAATTTGTGATGATTTTTTGTTTCTACAATAGCAAAGACACAATCCAAGAGAAATTTTTTGAAACGGTAATTTATTTTTCGACCAGTTTTAATATATCGGAGACAAATTTTAGGTTTACACTAGAATAGGTAAGTAGACTATTTTCCTTTATGCTTGTCTTTTTATTTTATAAATAATATATAAATTTCTTAATATTAAAGTTATAATTATATTTAACAGTTGTTATAACTTTATTATATAGAAAGTGTTATATACTAAATTTAAAATTTTATATTTATATATTGTAAAAAGAAATTTTTATTCATAATTGTATTATAAATATATTAGTTTAAGTAATAAATTTTGAAGTTTTAATTTTACTAACATTTTAATATACGAAATTTAGGATTACAATATTTGGTACAAGCTTGTTGTATTATCCTGTTTATATAAATAATGCTATAATACAATAATTATAATTTTAATTTCTATAATTATAAGAAATTTGAATTCTTGAAAAAAATCTCTTAACAATTCGTAAAAGAAGTTTTTTTTCTAATATTCAGTGTTCTGAGCAAAATTCATTTTAATTCATACAATACCATTCTACAATACCTAAATGTAATTGTTTTCAGAAAGAACCCTTATAGCCTTTCAACTTGTGTATAACCTTACAGAGTAATTTTTATGTTAAAATAAGAAGAATTTTTTTTATATTAAATTTTTTTCATTAACAAAATTACATATATAATATTCTTTTAATTTATTCAACAATCAACAAAACACGCAATTCTAATTACGCTTTAGTCCTTGTAAATTTTTACTACAAATTCAATTTACTTATTAAAATTTATAAAATTTACAAATTATAAATGAATGGGAATTCTTTTCAATTGCACATAAATATTTTGATTATCAAGAACAAAAAATAATAATTCTTATATAGATATTTGTGATTTTCTCTGATACAATTTGAATTTCTAAAAAAAATTTTACAAAAAAAAATATGAATGAAAATATTAGTAATAGAGAAAATAAAATATGATAAAATGAACAACTCACTTCAAAAAACGTTTTCGTTTAAATTTAAAATGCAATTTACACATGTTACACTTTTAAAACACGATACTTAACACGGAAAATATTAAACTCTGGTAATATTATGAATTTTATATTTAGAACTATTTGATTTCAGTGAATAAACTTTAATAGGGTAAAAAGTTCACAACGTGACAAAAAAATTACAATGCAAATTTTTGCGTTTAGATTTGTTTAGAACCAATTAATTCATAGTGCAGAAATGAAAATTATTTATGCATTGTTTTTTTGGTTTAAAAGAGGAATTTTCAATTGAAAGGATCATATGCGTTGTAGTTCACGTATAATAAAATATTAAGAACGTGTATTTGCATGCATTTTTAGAGTTGTTTGGAGAGTACATTGATTTTCGATTATTTTATATGCTCTTTTTTTTTTTATTATTTTATTTCTTTACAAATAGATCAAATAATATTCAAATAAATTTTTAAATTAAATCTTATTTATGCATAAAATTATTATGAAAAAAAAAAAAATATTAAATATTAATATAAAATAAAAAATTTATATACAAAAACCGGAATTAAATTCACTTAATTTACAAAAACATTTTAAACATAAAAGTGGGTGGTTAAAAACTTTCATTCAAATAATAATTTTTTTTTTTGTATTAATTTATTATGGGTGTTTAAGAAATATAAGAGGCTTACCCAGTCTTGCAATGTGCCATACTACTCTCGCACTCTGGTATCTAGCTATTTATTAATTAAATTCCGTTAATTGCTTTTATTTCGACTATCTTATAGTAGAAACAGTTTTGATCAACATTGGTATTCCATGATTTTGTTACAACGCCTAAAAGTAAGTAAATTTATTAAAATTTTGAATAACTAATTTAATTTTAATATTTATTTTAGATTTGAAAAGATATGGAAGCGAAATAGTAAAATAAAATTAATATAAAAAACAAAAAATGCCATAGAACAGACTTGAAGGCGGACCGATTTTTTAATTGTTCTGATTAAACTTTAAAATGGGCATTTGAAGAGGGTAACATCAACAAAATAACAACAACAAAATCGATTTATTCTAAATTTTAATGTTTACATAGGATGCCGACTAGTTTGGATTCATAGATTGTATGTAGAGGGATCAAATTTGTTCGGATCCCTTGGCATTAGAATTAACTAGAAAAGCAAACTCAAAAAACATTTATTACACATAATTTTTGAAAATCACAACAAGTAAACAGAAATATTTAATTGACACTTTTAATAGTGCAGATTTTTTTTATTTATTTGTGGCCTTTCAATTGCGGATCATTCAATGATCAATGTTGTGCTGTTCGTTTAATGTTTTAAATGTTTTTCGGATTAATGCATAAGGCTGCAATAATAATAGATGAAGATTATCAAATTTTTTTTTGAAAAATTATTTATTTGATTTTACAGACTAAAGTTCAAGAATATTTTTGTTATTTTTTTTCCGCTTGTACCTTTAAATTGTATGTACATATATATACATATTATGTGTTCTTTATATTGTACGTTGTGAGTTATGTGTGATAATTTATGATTAATTTCTAATATTGTTTTTTTTTTTTTTAAATTAAATTATTATTAAGTAGCTCGGATTATTTCAAAAAATTTATGTAATTCTAAGATAACGAAAAAATATTTTTTATCTTTCATAATTTAAATAGCATTTTGTATAAAAAATATATTTTTTTATTTTTTAGTTAATAATATTTTGCTGACATAACACTATTTATAAATTTGTAATTGGTTTACACTTATGCAAAAAAAAATTAAAGTATGTTAATTTTTCTGTTTTTTTTTTCTCAATTAATTTGAAAAACAAATTTATTTGACTTAAAAAATTTTATTGTTTGCAATATGAAATTGGAAAAAGTAAATTTTTAACAAATTAAAAAATATTAGAAAAAAATCTTTGCTCTATTTGAAAAATAATATTATATTGAATTTTCTATGCGATATTAAGGTTAAGGAGATGAGTTCAAAGAAACAATAAATTATTCTAAAATATAGAAAAGAAAAATTATTTACAAATTTAAATGTTAATTTATACAAATATAGATACAGATACAGAGGCATGTACAAATGCATATTTTTTCTTTATGTGCGATATGCAAATATTTAACGTAACAAAATTTTATCGTTTTTTCTTCTTTCTATAAATATATTCTTGTTAAATGTAAAAACAAAAAAATTGATGTTAAATTAAAAATAACGGATTTTGTATAATATCAGAACGTAAATTTTTTGTAAATAATATTTAATTTATTAAATAATTTTAAATCCTAAAACATTTCAATAT